TTCTAAAGTATTGTGTTCCACTTTAGAAATGAAATTTGCAAACATAACTGGTGAAACTGGATCCCGTTTCTTTGCCAGTCCATTAGAACTGGACTAAATGCACATACTTGTGTTTCAACAATGTATTTTAGGAAGCTGGGAATCCAGCAACAAAGAATCGTCTGGGCATTTATTTAGCTCAACTTAATTGAGTTTCTGCAAGGCTAGCCAAGGAATCGTTCACGTCCTTCTCAGCTAATTTGGTTCTCTCAGGCTGCCAACTTGATTCCCTGACTCATCACTTCTGCTGGGCAGAGACACCCTGGGGAACTGGGAAGCATGGAAAAAAGGACAGAATGAGGATCTGAGCAGTGAGGACGAGCAGAAACTGTGAGGCAAATTCTGGAAATGCTTTTGGTCTGCCAGAAGCCATGCAACGGTGCTGCAGACCAGCCTCCTACACCCCGTGAACAAATGCCCAGAGGGGAGCCCCACTGAGCTGGGGTGGCAGATGGAACTGGGGCACTTGGCCCCACAAGTGACATAAAAAGAACAGGTGGACCAAAATATTAGAATGCAATTAAGAAAAACTTTCCCTTCCTGACATTAACATAGACAGAGCAACAATCCTTGCATTGCTGAGGTCAAAAGGCTGTACTAATTAGAGCTTACCAACCAGAAAAAAGATGCAACAGAGTTGTGACCCTAACAGCCATTTCCAGATGACTCTGCTGACCCCAGTCTGGGTTGTTTGTGTCTCTGGACTAAAAGCAGGGTTGATTTTGCTCCAACTGGGATGGGTTCAACAGTGCAGCATCACATATTTCTGAGTCATGCAACAGAGTTATGGATCAGGTCCTTCAGAATCCTTTGAGTTTTACACTATATTAGCTTCTCAGTGTTCAATAGCAGCTCTGAAGAAGCTGAAATATCTTTTCCATTCTCAATCTTCTGCATATATAAATAAATTTGCTTTATTGCACACTGCAATCCATAGATAGCCTTTTCTTAAACACAAAACATCCTATGAAGATTAGTACAGTGTGACCAAAACAAAGATTTACAGTAGAAGCTGCAAAGGAAGTAATTTGGCAATTAACTGAAGAATCCTTTTCACAATGTCTTCACAGTAGAAAAACTACACATTTATAGTATGGACTCATGTTGAACTGCCTTATGTTTGCGGATCTCCGCAAACAATTTATTGAAATGTGTTTTTATGTGCAAGTCACAATCGCCAGGCTCTTTTCTTTATGAGTAAAAACATACTCTTTTCTTGTGTTTCATTGTTGCAACAATCAAGGGAAAACAAGACCCTTTTAGTTACTATCTGAAAAGCTTGTTTTTCCTCAATCCAACTAACCCCTACAAATCAAATATGTCCTCAGCAACAACTTTGTAACCTCACCGCTTCCAGTGAGCCTCTAGATGGCTACCTCATTACAGGCTGATATTCTGAAGTGGAAGGAAGGGGCGAGGTGGGTTAATTTTCTCGGTTGCATTGCTTCTCCTGATTTACATAGGTACTTGTTTATGCATGACGCCCCATCTCTGGAGGAGATATGTTTGCACATAATGACAAGCCACCATAAGTTAATTGTTCTAGGGTTGTGTAAGGCTTGTTTAACCCTTGTATAACCCATGGTGTTCAGGTTTGCATGATACAACAAGCCATGGTGTCCACCTGCCACGGCTTCTGCATTTAAAATGGAAGTCAGAAGACAGTGCAAGCCATGGTGGGATGCGAGGATTATGTGAAGCAGGTCAATTTCTTCACATGAAAAGGCAGTGGGCGCATGGCACAGGGCTTCCTGAGGCTACCACTGCATCAGTGTGCTCATGGGGAGGAGTGATCACAAAGCAGTGCTCCAGCATCCAACTCTTGTGTCATGTACGATGCCAGGATGAGGAATGGGAGAGAGAACCCTCTCCAAAGCTTTCTTTCTAGCAGATAAGGATTCACCAGGAATTTTCAGGATGAGCAACACCTCCAGTCCTTCTCACCCCCTCTGAGCTGGGAGTTGGCACCATCCCAGAAACAGACTGCATGGTGTGCCTGCTGATTGTTGGATCTGCTCTTCAGTTACCCGTATCAAGCCACCGTTGGCCTGACCTTGCCCCCGACTGCACCCTGGCATAGCAAACAGCAGAGTTTAGCTTTGCACCACATGAATAAATACGACACTGCATCCGAATACATGGGATGACCCTGGGCTCTAGCATCATGAATGGGAGAAAAACTTCTCCATACATACTTTTTGCATGCCATGCATACTTCTATACAACTCTGTCTTATCTCCCTTTACTTGACCTTTTCCCTAAGCTAAACAGGTGTTGGGATTTTTCCTCATAAGGGGGATGCCTAACAAGCTTGGGATGCGAAGTCTTCTGCTGCCTTATTCCAGGGGCATGTTTCAGCCAGATGTTCCTCCTGACCGCATTTCAGCACCTCGGTGCCGGGGCATTTGTGCTTAGGAAGGCAAGGCTTCACTGCCCCCAGTGGCATGGGCTCTTGCTCCAGGAGATGGCCTGAGCTAGATGGAGGAGCCAGGAGAGGAGCAGTGGAAACATCACCGATAGGGAGCAGCATCCGACGGGTTTGCGCTCGAACATACACTCCTCTAATCGCTGTCGGTTTGAAGACACACTTGCATGGAGTGATCGGGAGTTTGGGGACGGTTGATCTGGTCCAACATTTCACCCTGCAGTCCCTCTCTGTTTTGTGCCATATAAGCCGCATCATTCCAATTTAAATCATGCATCAGCAATTGAAATTGAGTGGTATAATCCGCAACGGATGCTTTTGCCTGATGAAGATGTTGAATCTCGAGTTGACACAGTTCATCTCCAGAAAGTCTACCCACAGCAGCAGTGAATTCCTGGTAGTTATTCCAAAGGGGACCACTGGCCAGCAGACAGGCAGTAGCCCATTTCCCCACGAGCCCCATCAGGAGGCCGATTACAAAACCCACTGGAGTGGGTTAGATTTACCAGACAGACTTGTTCAGATAGATACTGTATTTTAATGACGATAAGATGCCCCCATGTATAGGATGCCCCCCCACTTTTACCAATCTCCAAGTGAGCAAGCTGCTCCTGTGTGTGCGTGCCTGCTGCCTCCCCGCACGTGCACGCCTGCCTGCCTGCACCAGTCTCTCCCTCGATCGCACCCACGCCTGCCTCCCCCCCGAGTGCACCCACGGTTCTCCTCTTGGCCCCCCCATGTATAAGATGCCCCTCCATTTTTAGGTAAATATTTTAAAGAAAAAGTATTGTCTTATATATGGAAAAATGCAGTAGGTAGGTAGGTAGGTAGGTAGGTAGGTAGGTAGATAGATAGATAGATAGATAGATAGATAGATAGATTTGGTCAGATAGATTTACCCAGCATTTGTTCCATGTGTAAACTTTTGGGCTGTAAATGCATTTACAGCTCACTTTGAGCCCAGAAGGTGCAAAACTGGTAGCAATTCCCATCAAATCTGGCTGGCAGCTTGATGGGGCGGTTTCTCCGCAGGTGGTGGGGGCGGGGGTGGAGTGGAAGAGGAAGCAAGGGTGAGGTGGGGCCCCAGCTGTTGTGAGCGGTGCTCCTCCCTCAGGGCAATTTTGATCTCACCAGTGTTTCTCTGCCAATTATCTTGCTGGCTGCAAGTCTTGGCCTAGTGAAACACCAAGGCCTCTCTGACATCCATCACCGGAGACTCTCTCTATGAACCCTCCAGTGTCTCTCCTTTGAGGGAGGAGCGCTGGGAAAATGAGGGCACCTCCACTCTGCCCGCTGGGCACCCAACCGGACTTCTCTCCCATGATGACGCCCAGCAATTGCATTCACTTCTTTGGGTGCAGCAGTTCCCCATCAGACAAACTACCCATTTCAGGGTCCCCTCCCGTGGTCCCTCGGGCTACTCTGCCCCATATCTAATTCCCGCAGAGTCTCAGGACCTTGGAGTTTGAAACGTTTCAAAAAGGGCCTCAACTTCAGAATCTGACGTGTCAGTCCCACCATGACAGGTAGCTTTCCATGCCTGAGTTGGGACAGGACACAGATGCAAACACCACATCAGGGGTCCTCAAACTTTTTTAACAGGGGGCCAGTTGAAAGGTACTGGTGAGGGGCGTGGGCCGCCAAGGCTGTGCGGGCGGGGGGCATGGGCCAGGGTGGGGGGGTGCGCGTGCTTGCTTGCAAGGAGATCCTTTTCCCTGAGCAAGTCCAAAATGATCTCCTTGCAAGCAAACTGCCGCCTCGCCTTGCCCCACGGGCACACGCACGCATGCGTGCATGCTGGGAGTCCAAAACCTCTATGACGGGCCGGATAAATGGGCCTGGCGGGCCGGATGCGGGCCGTAGTTTGAGGACCCAAGCACTACGTCAATTAGTGACCTACCACAACCATAAAATGCTTTTTTTGTCAGTCTCTACTAGCTGAGACCCCATCAAATCATACATAGTCAGAACTTTTACTGCACGTTTTTCTCAATACACATCACTTTACACTTGTTTATGTTTAACTGCATTTGCCATTTTTATGGGCATTCTCCCTGTTTGAAGAGGTTCATTCCAAATCCTCCAAAATCCCTTTTTATTTTAACCACACTAAATAAGTTTGCCCCATCAGCATATTCGCCAGTGTGCTGCTTAACTTTAACCCCAGATCAAACCTCTATATACAACACACAGTAAAACTTTCTATAGACATGTAATTTACATAGATTCTGCTTGATTCTACTCAGGTTTAGGCACATAATTCAGAACTGAGTGAATTTCTACTGCAAATTCCTACTGCTCCAGAAACAAATGCAGTTCAAAGGGGTGTTACAATACTGGTTCGCTTCTGAGTTGGAGAGCTAAGAGACAGGATCACAACTTATTCTACACCTCTAGATTTTGTTCGGGGGATGTGGGGGGAGAGGGAGAGGGAGCGAGAGGGGGGAGAGGGAGAGAGAGAGAGAGAGAGAGAGAGAGAAACCAAACCTGGTTTGAAGGCATACGTGCATAAACAGGGAGTGAAATAGTTTTTTACCTGCTTTAGGACAGTAACAGTTCCTGGAGCCATGGCAACCACCGAGGCAACCGCAGCCGCGTCATGGGGCTCGGAACCCAGCTCAATAATTTGCTGCAGGATGTTCATAGCCGTGGGTTCGAGTTGTCCCCCTTATCAGGAAGAAGCAGGGAGAAGGACCTTAGTATGACCAACATCAGGGTAACATTAATTTCACCCTGTATCTCGGGGAACCAGCTCCCCACGGCTCATATTCCATTGTGAAATTTACACATAAATAGACCAGTACTCTACCCATTCTCGGGCATTGTGAAACTCTGGGTAGTGCAAAATTCCCCCAAACCTTGGCCTCCTTCCTTTACCGTTTGCTTTCCATAAACCAAAATATGCTGGGGGAACAGAATGTTCCCAAAGTTGTTGCAGAAGAAAAATTCTGTGGGGCACTTTTATACCCTCCTACAAAAGGCCCTGAATAAAGACAACAGAAAGTTGACTGAAGGTCACTGTAATCTCTTTTGAAATCAAGAGCTTAATATAACACTTCTAGCAAATGAAATTAAGAGAAAGCTTTTTTATGATGGTCTCAAGTTTGCAGACCACACTACTGTGATATAGAGCGAAGGGCAACAGGCCAAGCATTGTTATGCAGATTTTATTGTTATGCATAGCTTCAAGAAAGATTAAATCCTAAATTATCTGTACCTGCCGAAAGCCATTCTTAAACTTTCTGGGAGAAAGATGCAGCCAAGCAAAGGCCTTCCCTCTGCACCATTTGTCTTACTTACTTACATACTTACTTACTTACTTATTTAAATCATTTCTATGCCGCCCCCATCGCAACAAAGCCTCAGGGCGGCTCTTGCCTGATGCACTTCTGGTCTGGGGTCAAAAATGACCTCTTGTGTTTCTTTTCTTCTTGGCCGGATGGAAGTTAAAGATTGTCTTCTGCTCTAGCTCATCTCCTCTGCCTCTGCCTATTCAGCCACACTATCGTGGAGGTTCCCTGCCTCCTCCATCCTTCCCCACTTCCTCCTTACTGGATCCTACCTGCTTCCTTCATCATCGTGTGTCTTCATGTTTCAGGTCTGAATCCATTTTGCAGAATGAAGCCCCACAAAGATTTATAAGGAACTAGGTCACTTTACAACATTTTGACACCTTAAAAGCTACTCTATTTATTGCAGTTGTTTTGTTTTGTGTTGTGTTTTGTTTTGTTTATAAATGCAAAATGTATATTTGAGAAAAACCCCTTAAAAGAGAAAAGCAGAAGTATTGCGGGACAAGAAGAGGATCCACTCTTTAATCGAAAGTGCTCCAAGTGATCCTTCTAATAAATAATGAAAGTCACTCCATTTATTTGCAGGACAAACTGTCTGCTGGTTTCCTATTTTTCTGTGAATGCTTTAAGGCAATTAATCCATTCCTGCAGCTGTGAAACAGAAACCCAAGCATGCATGGGCTCATGCCCTTAAAGTCTTATTTTCAAGGAAAGGGGAACCCCTCTGACTCCGTCTAGAGGTTGAATTCAAATTGGAGAACATTCTATGGAGTGCTAAGAGGTAGCAAATCTGATCCTCTGAGCATTATGGCCCAATTCACGGCTGCGGATCCAGCAAGCACACAGTGCCTCTGGCCCCATTTCATGCACAAGGAAAATAATAGCTTTCGCCATCGAAGGAGGCTCAAATGACTTGTACCCCTTCCTATTTTTCTGCCAGGGTACTGTTAAATAAATAACTTGCATCTTCAGAGTCAAAAAGTGGAGGGGGGGACAAGGCAAATCTTCAGACTTGATCCCTCCCCACAACCCAAATGAGGCAAAACACAGAAGGTGCTAAAAAATAAACGTTCCCTTATGGAAGCACTGCAATGCCTTCCCTAAACGACAGTGCGTCCTTCCCATGTAAGGGCCACACCTCTTTACATTATAAGCATTATATCCAGAAGCAACTCCCTTGTGTTGGCTCTCTCTCTGCGTGTGCACAACATCTGAAGCTGTTCACGGAACCGGGAGGGAGCGACGTGGGTGGCACCAGACTGCAGCTGATGCGCCTTTCTGTTTCAAAACTGCAACGTTGGCTAAAAGGACAGGTCAGGACTTCTCTGGTGCAGCCACTTTTGCTGATGCGACACCACATTTGTGTGGTGTTGAACGAGGGCTCCTAAGAGCCAGGACTAGCTTGGCTATGAAGCTCACCAGGCAAGCTAGCCTCTGACTCCCATCTGCAATATGGCCATAATATTACTGGCCAACCATCTGCTTTTGAGTATTTCATGAATATTTCTTCAGGAAATCACGTTACCGTTTTCTGAGGTATATCGCAGATCCTGCAGAGCAGCAACGGCAGCCTGAGTTCCTTGCATATCCTCTGCTTCTGTGATATGCAGATACTGCGTAGGGGTTTCTTCGGAAATCTCTGTTGTCTGCTGCAAAATAAGCCAGTGACTGGTGATCAAAGGGAATTACAGACTGGCTGGGTCTGTAACCTGCTTTCCTACCGAGGAAATGGCATTCAAAGCAGCCCGGCTGCATCAGTGTATTTATCCATTGACTGAGTGGTAGTTCTTTGAATGGAGACACACTCTCTGATTTATTTGTATGCTGCATTTAGATACAGGGGAATCCTTGCTGTTATCTCAAAAATAACTGAGCAGATGCAGGCAAAGGAGTCATCCAGATGGTGCCTTGGCCGCTCAGGCAAAATGCTGGGGACTGAGTCATCCATGGAAGGAGCACTTCTCCCACGGCTGGCCCATCCAGGGCAGCCCTACCTGATCCTGATCTTTCCTCTATGGGAGGAGGGAGAGGTAGGCGAAGAAGCTTTGCAGCGTGCAGGCCTTCTCCAATGTGAGGATCATTTTCCTAATGCATCTCTGGGGAACCAATAATGTTGGGGGTCTCCCCAGACCCCTGATACCATCCAGTCTGCTGAGGCCTTGTTACCTGCCCTTTCTCCCATTTGGTCATGGCTGTTCTTTCCTGCTCTAAGGCACAGGTAAGAGAACAAGAGATGCTTAAACTCACCCAGATTCTGTGAACCCTGCTTCAGAGCTTGGTTTGCCTCATTTCTGTTTTTGAGCTGTTCTCCTTTTGGTTCAAGCAGGGAAACTGCACATCGGTGTGTGCATTTTTTAAAAAAATTGCACTTCTCCCATTGACTAAAGGCCGATAATGTGTATTACCTGGAGAAGGGCCTTCTCTGCAGTGGCACCCCGATTGTGGAATATGCTCCCCAGAGAGGTTTGCCTGGCACCATCACTTTATTCTTTTCAGCACCAGGCTAAAACCTTTTTATTTTCCCAATGTTTTGAGGTTTGACTGTTTTAAATATGGGTTTTATTGTTGATTGGTCAAGAATTTGCTATGTGTGCCCCTAAAAAAGCACCATATCCAGGAACACTTTAAACTGCAAACCTTCCCTGTTAGGAGGAGGAAAGCCACATCAAGGATAACTGAAAACTAACAACCAGATCTGTAGATTTCCCAACCCACAGCACATCTGTCTTGTTTGAATTAAGTTTCAGTTCAGCTTGTTCAGCTTGAGCAGAGAGACAGCAGATGGCTTGGGGAATGGCATTTCATTATATGGTTATTTACTTATTTGCCAACAATATCTTATAACTTTTCCAGCCAACAAAATGGAGAGTGCAGGATACATACACACATACATACGCATATGCGGGTTCTTTTGGCAGATAGTTGATATTTACACATGCAAGAGATTACTGAAGAATATTGAAGATTTTTTCATGTTGTAAGGCAGTTTATGCCTTAATATTCACCTTTTATTTCAATTTTCTCTTTCGCCCTACCACTCTAGAAAACAATGGTCCAGGAAAACCTGTCACCATTTGAACTTACCTCCCATTTCGTCTCCCCATCGTGCTCCACGAGTTTGAGTCCATGTTTGTTTTTGAGGTGCCTGTTGAATTCCCATTTTGTACCATACACAAAATTGCACACCGGGCACTTGATACCACCTTGGGGAAGGAATAACATGACCAAGAAGAAATTAACACAGCTTTTGTTCCTGGTGGGACATCGGAACCCCCTCAGTGATGTTCAGTTGAGACATAATCATACCATTAAAGATAAAAATGAGGAGAGCGCAAAAGTTGGTTTGAAACTCAACATCAAGAAAACTAAGATCATAGCAACCGGTCCTATCACCTCCTGGCAAATAGATGGGGAAGAAATGGAGGTAGTGACAGATTTTAACTTCCTGGGCTCCAAGATCACCACAGATGGGGGCTGCAGCCAGGAAATTAAAAGATGCTTGCTCCTCGGGAGGAAAGCTATGGCAAATCTAGGCAGCATACTAAAAAGCAGAGATATCACCCTGCCAACAAAAGTGTGTATAGTCAAGGCTATGGTTTTCCCAGTTGCAATGGATGGCTGTGGAAGCTGGACCATAAGGAAGGCTGAGGGCAAAAGGATTGAGGCCTTTGAATTGTGGTGCTGGAGGAGACTCCTGCGAGTCCCTTGGACAGCAAGGCGATCAAGCCGGTCAGTCCTAGAGGAGATCAACCCTGACTGCTCTTTAGAAGGCCAGATCCTGAAGATGAAACTCAAATACTTTGGCCACCTAATGAGAAGGAAGGACTCCCTGGAGAAGACCCTGATGCTGGGAACAATAGATGGCAAAAGGAGAAGGGGATGGCAGAGGATGAGGTGGCAGGATGGAGTCACTGAAGCAGTCAGTGTTTGCTTAAGTGGACTCTGGGGGATGGTGGAGGACAGGAAGGCCTGGAGGAGTGTTGCCCAGGGGGTCGCAAAGGGTCAGACACGACTTTGCAACTAGCGACAAAAGATAAAAAGTGAGTCAGCCCAGGAATGGGATCTTTCTGTGACTTGCTAGGAGAGATAAGGAGATCTGGACCCTGGAAGCCACGATAACCAACCCGGGACATAGAATCTCAGGGCTGCTTGGCTGTTCCCACTGTGGGTGGAAGCATCCCCAAAACTGGTGGGTTATTTTGATAAACAAACCCAGGCAATGTTTAAATGCCAAGGAGTGTAAACCTGCCTTGCCATCAGTCTCCGTTTATGTATATTTCTCATCCAGTCAGACTCTCCACCATTATGTCATTAATAGCTTTGAAGCACCATTAAATGGCAGCAAATTGCCAGTTCTATAACTACCGAGGCAGAAGAGATACTTGGATTCTTTTGCTCTAGGCAATAATGTGCTGCACACTGTCGTGTGTATGCACACACCTGTATGACAATTTTCTTAAGTCTTTTGCATCAACCAGAAATGGGTCGAATCTGCTGTGACCATTATATTCCCCCCTTCAAAGGGAATTTATTTAGGTCCTAGTTCCTTTCTCAAAGTATCTGGCAATTGATCAGACTCTTTGATTTGCATGTGTGCTCCAGACTGGAAAGTTTGCCCTGATTCAAAGGAAGCCCTGAAATCGTGAACTCTTATGATAAAAAGGCCAGAACTTGTTAGAAAATGCCCTTTTGTTCTGCTTATTAAGACAAAACATAGCCTCAAGCTCTCAGCTAAGTCCCTTCCCTATCAGATCTTATTTTAAAAGCATGGCAGAGAAGTTCATGTACAGCATGCATTGATTGCGAATGAGGGCGATAAACCCAGAAAATGGACTCCGTTCTGCTGGACCTTCAAAAACAAAACCAAGCAAAGAAAAAACCCCTGAAAGAACAGACACAGTCCTGAAGGCAGATTTCAGAAATAGCTCCGTTATTCTGCTAACGTGCAACCCTGTGCCATGGGTGGCCCGCATCTACTACTGGTTGGCTCTGAGAGCCAGAGCAAAAGTCCTCCTCGGGTCACCCACCCCTTGGATCCTGCAGTGGATGCCACATGGGTAGCTGCCATCATGTTGTGATTCCACACCTGGACGCCACATCCCTGGCTGGATGCAGGAATGAGTCCAGGTGCCATGCCACTGGGACCAGTATTCTCCCACTCTAAGCCAAGCTCCTATAAATGGGATTTAACCAACAAGAGGGTTCCTATTTTGGAACGGAATTCATTTCTCTAATTTGCTTGTACAACCGAATTAAAGTCAGGCTCTTCTGCTGACATTTATTAATCTTCAAGGATTTTCTAAGAACCATCTATTATCTGCAAATGCATTAGACAATGCAGGCTGCTTGACTTTATGCGGAATTGGAATTGCTTCTCTGTCAAATGACTTAATATGCAACAGTGCATGACATTCCAAGTACCTTTAGCGCAGGACAGGACAAAGATAACATCAGTTACCAAATCTGAAATGAAATATTCATTCCATATCACGCTCTTAATAAAAACTCAATTAGAAGAAAGACCTTTCTATATTTCTTTTAAATTAAAATTACTGTAACAATAACACCCTGTTAATTAAAATGGCCACCTTTGTCATTGTGACTTTAATTAAGGCGCAACAAATGGAAGTTTGCAATTGAGTCAGTAGCATAAAACTGTGAGCCAGTTAATTGACATCACAGCTAAAGAAAATTAATTTCTACCCAATTCATTAAATACTGTGGCAATATAGTGAAAAAAAGGTCATTGAATGACATACCTTATCTACTTCTGACACCAGTGTACATAGTCAAATCATATTAAAATATTTCACGTTCCTGAAATGCCAGCTGAGAAATCCCAGTGTTGTTTTCCCCAGCCCCCAAAATGTATTAATTGTCCCTTGGAATCATGTTTAATATCCAAGGGTCTCAAACGAAAGTGAGTCCTGGGCAATAAGAAACCAAAAACACCCTAAGGATCTGTACGGGAATGATGGCATAGACAGCCACATGTTTTATAAGGTTTCCTATGGCCTTACTTATAAGGCTTCCACATGGTCCATATGATTGCTTAAGGTTCCTTGAGTTCAGATTAGAGTTGGTGGGGTGGTATGGAAGTTTCCCATGGGGAAACTTGCTAGAATTACTGCAACCCATGTCCCATGGGATCCCTCTCTTCTGCAAACTGTGTTGCACCAATGGGAGTGACCCCTTGTGCCACAGGGATTTTTGTTCTAAAAGCAAGCCCAGAAATAAGCAGAATCCCTTGTTTCCCCATCAAGTAGGCTTACTGCACGGAGAAGCAGGTGCTTTGTTTTGTTTTTTAATTACAGTGCCAATATCCCTAATTACCTTTTTGATGGTAGGGAGAAAAAAGTCATTGGAATCTTTGGCTGATATTTGAGAAATGGCAGGGGAGTCCTACATCAATTTAGTGTATCTTTGTGATCCCAACCAGACAGTACAAATGACATATAAAACAAACTGCAGATTTAGGACTTTAGGACATGACTTGCTATAAATGCTCAGAAGACAAATGTTCTGCTGGACACCTGGTTCTAGGAGAGGTCATCCCCTGCTACCTAAGTCATGGGGCTGTGGGGAGGTAATTGGAAGCTGGCCACGAGGCTTGGAAGACTTTGATTCAAGAATGGCCTGTTATATTTGGATCCAGATAACTGGAATGAATCAGTTTGTTGAAAACAGATCAAACTTGCCCCGCTGATCAGTACTAAATGTTTCATTTGTCAGAGGCAAAGAACTGGGTGTGCCTTTATCTTTTAAAGACATTTGACCCGCTTTCATGCGTATTTAGAGAAGAATTAAATCCAGCATACATTCAACAAACCTAGTTACATTCTTGTCTTCTGCTGGGAATGTGCATACAAGCTAAACTTGAGCTTGCCAAAGTTCTTCAGGTACCACCCTGAAGTTTGCTCCATCTCATGTCCATGTCTGACTGCAACCTTCACTTTTTCTTTTTGCATGAAAATGTGCAAGTATTTCCATGTGCTTTTCCCTAATATGCACATTAATTCTGCACTTCTTTGGAATGCACACATTCGTCTCCCAGTGATTAGAAAGTATTTGTGTGCATTTTCCAAATAGATGGATGCTGTCCAACCGATAATTTTTGGTCTGCAAATCACACTGCAAGCTTGGAAACCTACGGTCTTTGAAAATAGATCGCATTTGAGTCCATGTTCAGTCAGGGAGATAAGAACTTAGTAAATCCTGATCAAAACCTGAAACAAATTCCTCATAATCTCTATCCAAGGATGATTAAACTTGATGAATGGTGCTTTTACATTCTTTTGCATGAGTAGCTTCTCCTGCTTTTACACATACATCTTTCTCTGCAGCCGAACATCTTGGCTAACCATGCATCTGATGAAATTGGTGCTTGCCAGCGAACCAGTCAAAACCCCGGTTTGTCTAATTCAGTTGGGTCTACACTGACTGGCTTGCAGGAGCTCTCCAGGCATAAGGAAGACCGTGAGCTGGATCAAGGTCCATTGAGCCCTGCACCCTGTTGCTCACAGTGGCTAACCAGAGGCCTATAGGAAGCCCACAAAACAAGGATGGAGGCCTTCTCTTGTTGTCATGCCCCGAAGACCGGTCTTCGGAGACAAGCTGCACCTGATCCTGGAGGCAGCCTTGCCCCTGGATTTTTCTCAGAATTATCTGGCAACGTCGGAGTTTGAACCTGGAACCCTTTCTTTGCATGGCACTCTGCCATGGAGCTACAACCCTTGAAAGGTTCATGTTGCAAGAAATGCCTTCTTCCAGAAGGCACCGCAAGGTGACTGTCTTCTCCATCACTTCCCAAAACTGGACCCCTCCCGCAATGTCACAATACGGCTTTCGTGTTAGTTTTGTCTCCTGCTCCTATCTTTGCAGGGGAGACACCGTGTAGTTTCTGAATGCATTCGGCTTGTGTCACCATTTCCATGCTGTTGCAACATGGATTAGCACTTCTGATAGACGTGAATTGTTTGCCAAAAATAAAGAAAAAAAAAAAGAATAATAATAATTTGGAAATGCTTTTAAAATGTCACGCTTGGGAGAATGATGTTTTATTCATTATCTAGAGCTGCAGAGTTATTCTGGCATCTATTCTAGTGTAACAAAAAAGGAAATTTTAAAATCCCCACAAGATGCTTTTTAAGGGGAGGGGAAGTTCTGCTTTTTGTCATTCAACATGGGGGTGAACATGTAGACATTGTAAGGAGTAGAATAAGAAAGTCAGCTTTCCCAAACAGCTCAGCATTTTCAAGCACAATGCAATCTAATTTGGCTGCCTTTATTTTCCCACTCGCAGGCATGTTATGTGCTAGGTTATTTCCTGAATCTTTAAATCCGTTTCATATTCCACAAGTTAGTGAGTTGTGCTGCCAGCTTACCAACTACGCCAACAGCAAACATCTCTTGGGAGATTAATGCCCATCACTTGAACATGTAACTATCTAATTTGTGGGTGCGTCCAGATTCTACAGTGTTCTACAAAACCCTTAAAAACCATAGGACTTAGAAACATAGACACTTTGAAAAGAAAAACATACATTCCCCTACTTCCCTCATCTTCTGACCTTTTAGTGATTATCACAACAGAAGACTTTATAGTATGCAGTCCTGAAACAAGCTTAAAAACTCACAACTCCGATGCTCAACTCATCATTTGGAAATCAGGTCCAACTGAACTCACATCTCAGGAATGTGTGTAGGAATGAAATGAGTGGCGAAGCTCCATGAGAGGGATACTTCGAGTCCAAGCAGGATTTAACCCCCAGAAATGATGCACAAGTGACACAGAGCAGATCTGGCTGGCTTTTCATGTAATGATCTGTATGTCAGCCTTGCTCGCTCTGCTCCATGCTGTCTATGGAACCAAACACTGCAATTCTGTGCAACTGGTTCTCCAGAAATCAAGACTAAAAATACATTCATGCTTAGATGTGCCAGGCCTACACAAAGGTGGAAATTTAAAAATATATAAAGGTAGAACTGGATTGATCCTGCCACGCTGTACCACTTCTCAAATACAGAAATGACTGTTTTGCTTCAGGAGTGCCCTTGGCAATGTTCCCCTGAAGAAACAGATGTGTGATGTAGGAATTTAAACCTGCATGGATTTTCCAAACTGATCCATAACAGGGTATCGGACTCCATTCAGTTCTCATTCATGTGGATTTTAATTCTCCCATAATGCTTGTGAAGCACTTTTCTTTCCTGTAAGGGGTGCCAAAGTCACTCCCCAGGCAGGGGGAGAAAGATTCCATCACCATTCGTGAGTGGCAAATTTCAGCCAACTGCAGCATGTTCCCTCCAACAGAAAACAAATGGTCTCTGAATTTGCAGAAGTGTTCTTGCATTGTGCTTCGAGAACAAACAGGTTACCTTGTTGGAGAAGAGCTTCTGCAGCAAGTTCTCCAGAGCCTGCATTAACGTATTCCTCGCTGGGATGTTTCCTGTTGTAATGCCTTTTCAGAGAACCAGATATATTGCAGGAATAATGGCAGTGGGCACACCGGAAAGGCTAGAGAAGGGGAAAAAGGACATTGAGTAGCCATACTTACTTCCTGGTTTAGAACAGCACTTGAGGTACAAGGCCCAGAGATCAAGATTTCTGGCTTGATCATAATGTGAGTTGGATCAGCCTCCTTATGGTTTTGTTCAGATTGCAGGATGTTGCCCAGCTGTTAAGTAACCCACAGGTTGAGAGCTGCATAGGGACCATGCCTGGTTTCCATTATCAGCCCTTGAATGTCACATTTGAAGGTGGTTCCCTTGTCATCTGTACGGGTACACTTAGGATTGTTTGCATACTTAACAACCCCAAGTTAACCCATGGCTTCTCCTCAGGTTAACCTGGAGCTGTTTATCGCACGAACAACCAGGCTTCCATGGCACACAAAACTTCCATGATATAGAACATGCCGCAGCAGAAGGATCGGACAGCAGCCCAAGAACATCACTTGCTCCGGAATCTCTTTCCCTGATAGACAAAGCAGTAGGTGGTGTTGGGTAGTGGCTGCAGGACACACACAGAAATGTAATGCTCAGTTTGAGATGCATCCTTTTACATCTGAGCAGGATAACCTTGGTCACACAATCCACAGAATGTGTCACCCCCTTTCCACTGGCAGGGCCACTGGCCAATGGTGCACCATCTGCTACTGTGCTTCTTGCCAACCTAGTAAGAGTCTTTCCAACTCGTGGTGTGACCCACAGCTCAACCGTCCAAAGTTTGCCTCCACAGTTGTTTTTCCTTTGTCCCCTGAGACAACCTCCTACATGCCGTCTTGAGGGAGGTGGTCCACACATTCTGCTTAGGGCAGGTGTGTGTAACATGCAGCCCGCAGATTTCCTGCACCCTCCTGGAGTCTTCGCCATGTTCTCCCCCCGACTGTTACCGCTGGACCGAGCACATGAAGCAGCAAAAACCATGCCAATTTAGTAGAGAAAGATGGCACGTGCCATCTTTGTTTTCCTGCTAAGCTGCCATGATTTTTCTTGCCGTGATGGTAAATTTGGCAGCAGGAGTGGGAGCAACAACCAGTTGGTCTGGGGAGGTGTGGTAAGCACCCAAGCCCTTGACATTGCCTGCCTTGATACAGAGCTAGAAGCTCCTGTCCGTGACGCTCACCATGTTGCCTTTCCCCACATTGATTCTGGGATTTCAGAGACTCTGCCTACCACAAACAAAGCAGTGCTTGGGGAAGAAGGCAAGAAGATGTGCTCTATTTACCTATCCGAATATTGCTTTTCACTACAAACAAATGCCTTGCTTGGGAACTAAAGCTCAGAATTACCACTGCTCCTTAACTCACTTCAGAGCTAGTCCAGCTAAAATGGGATCTTACGCTTTGCAAAAATTAATCACTTCAGAAAAATCAATCAGTACAGATGTCCAACAAAATTCCCTTTGGAGACCTCAAATAAATCCATGTAAATAGGTTTGCTGACTCGAATACTGAGTATAATGATGCATTAACATTTTTGAAACATGGTTTGAGTACACAAAAACTCCGAGAACTAGCTATTCATGTTCCTATTCTACCAATGCGGAAATGATGGAGAAAGGTAATAGAAGTCACGGAACAGGGAATGCCTGTAAATCAGGAGTTTCCTACCCAACTTTAAGCTTCCTATTTAACAAGGTTCTAGGCAGAGCGATGGCTTCTTAAATTGAAGCAGTCTTGAAATATATTTAGACCATTCCAATCTGGGTTTAGGTCTGGTTTGGGGTCAGAAACAGCTTTGATCACCTTGGTGGATGACTTATTCCCTCAGCCGTTTAGTTCTCAACAGTTTTTGATATTATTGACTATAGAAAACTTCCATGGGTTACTGTGATGGTCCATTTTGTTCACATGAGGGATCGGTGGGGCTTGACACCAACAAACCCCTCACAGCATTACTGGCTTTCCTTGCACATTCTCAGGCATCCAGGCCAGCAAGAATTATTTCAGAAGCAGCTGTCTGGGTTGATCCTGTTTCACAGTGGTTCCATTCATACATGGTGTCCCCTTCCAGAAGGTGGTGCTGGGAGATGACTCTTCTACTCCACAGGGTCTAATATTATCCCAGGGTCACAAGGATGGTGGCCAGGTTGTGGGCAGGGCGGATGCCATACGAGATGTGATTGAGGAAACTGGGACTTTTCAGCTTGGAGACGAGGAGCCTCCGCGGGGATATTGAAGCAACTCAGAAGGGATGTTGTGGTTGAGGGTTGTGACCTGTCCTCCCCTCTGGTGGAGGGAAGGATGCGGTCCAGTGAGGCAAAGCTGAAGGAACTGGGCTTTAGGTCGGATGTCAGGCGGTACTTCCTGATGCTTAGGACCCCTGGGAAATGGAATGGGCTTCCAGAGGAGGTGGCAGGGGCCCCATCACTGAGGGTGTTCAAGGAAAGACTGCACACCACACGTTGGACAGTATATGAGCAGAGCAGAGCTGCTTGTGCTGGGGCTCAAACCAGATGGCCCAGGTGGCCCCTTCGGACTTGCTATGTTTCCATTGCATTAAACATCTACTTGAAGCCGCAGAGGGAGGTGATCTCATTCTGGGATGTGGACTGAAGGGCCTTCAATATGACGATGGCATCCGCCTCTGCCTCGCCCTTTCAGAAAACACAGAGGAGGGAGTAGGCATCCTGAACGAGTGCCTGAGCAGGGGTGTGAACTAGGTGAGGGCCAACAAGCTGAAGTGGATGCCGGACAAGACAGAGGCAGAGGGAGCATGTGCTTTCTCTACCCAGTTCAGTGGTTGTTAAGAGGTCCTACCTGGAACAGGGCTGTATCCCCCTTTAAGAACAAACACACCTTTTGGGGATATGCCTGGATCCATCACTGCTCCTTGAGGCTCAGAAGGCCTCAGTGGCCAGGAACACTTTCATCAGCTTAGCTTGATATACCTGCTGAGACCCTACCTGGAATAGATAGCCTGGCAACAGTTCTCTATGCTCTCATAAACTCTTGGATGGATGCCTGCAATGCCTTGTGCAAGGGGCTACCTGGAAGAGGATTCACAGGCTTGGTATAAATTAGAGCTGCCGGGTTACTCTCTAGGACCAGCCAAAGCAGCCATGCAATGCCTGTACTTGTTAGCTGCACTGGCTTTCGGGTCTATTCCTGACACCAGTCCAAAGGACTGTTGTTGACCTTTAAGGTCCTGAACGGTTTGGAACCGAGCTATCTAAGGGGGCATCTCCTTCTGCATGAACCTGCTCAGCTCATATTCAGGGCCTTCCTCCAGGTACACCTGCCAAAAAAGCTAGGTGGGCAGCTACACAAGAAATGATCTGCTCGGTGCTGGCATCCCACTTATGGAACAAACTGCCTAAAGATATTTGTTTGGCACCTGTGCTATTATCTTTCTGGTGCCAGGCAAAGAACTTACTTTTCTCTCCGGCATGTTTAGACACCTGGTACTAGGCTATTTTTGCTGTTTTATTTATTGCTGTGATGTTTCTTGTTCATTATACAGTTTTATCCTTTTAAATATTTGCATTGTATTTTTTATTTTGTTTCAGCACTGTTGGTTATTGGGTGGATTAAAAATGAAATGTAATAAATAAATAAAAGGACAAAGGCATGCCGCTTTAATTACTGTGATAAACCATAAATCCTTCTGATCTTTTTCATCCCTCTGAAACATTCTTCAGTCATTTCCTCTACATGTGTTTTGAAATTATATATATTTCTAATTTAGCACACAGAATTCTAAATAGAAAAAGTTATTGTCTCAAAGAGTGTGCTACTGCATCAAAGTTGAAATAAAATGAAATAAAAGGGTTTAACATACTTTTAAAAACACTTAAAATGTTATGCTTTAAGGATATTATGAATGCCTTTGGGAACTCAGTCTGGAACTCAGGAAATAAATCTACAAAATTCGATTTGAACAAATAAAAATATGTCAAATATCACGGATGAACCCATAATGAAGGAATTAAAATACTTTCTTGGGGTCACAAGGTCTGCATATGAATTTCAACCTCTGTGTTTCCATTATCACCTTAAACTCATTTTCTTAGCAGCTTTCCACAAGTCAGCTCCTTCTAGATGTCTCGCAACCCCACTCCCCTCCGCCTCAGTCAGCAAGGCCAAGGGCAGGAATGCTGGAAAACATCTAGCGGGCCTTCGCTTGCAGCAGATCGTTCTACGGTCAGTGAAAACTCATCTCTGCTATTGTTCAGGGTTGTTCTTCTGCCCATTTTCCTTGGTTCCAGACCTTTTTGCTCCATCCCTCAGCTCCACCTGGCAGTTCTCCCAACCACCCCATGTTACCTTTCCAAATGACAACACTTCACTGTAGACACGACAGGTAGCTCAAAAGTTAGCTCCTGTCCTTCAAGGTGAAGCTCCTTCTGTCCTTTCCTAAAGAAGCCTCATTGCCCAGCATGACACAATTGGCCGCTCTCAGTCTTGCATCTACCAACATGGCTCATCCTCTCCTAGGCATTTCAATAGTCCACAGTGCTGCTAATCAGTTCTGAAATTCATCTTGTCCATTAAATGTGCACTTACTAAAGGCCACAAAAATTTTGCACGTTTTTAAAAGATGCCTCCTTTAAAGATGCAGGAGTACATCTATCAGCTGAGTTTCATGTGCATTCAGTGTTTCTCAACTGGCATTCAGCTTGATTACTGGTTGCATAGCCAGAAGCGTGGCTTCTAGATTGAGAGAGGTATTACTACCACTCTATACGACTCTGGTGCACCTGCAACTGGAGCATTGTGCTCAGTTTTGGGCCCCTTGTTACAGGAAGGATACAGCCAGGTTAGAGTCAGTGCAGCGTAGGGCCACAAGGTTGGTGGCCGGTTTGCCGTAAGAGGTGAGACTGAGGGAACTGGGTCTCTTCAGCCTGGAGAAGAGGAGACTCAGATGGGATCTGTTGGTGACATGCAGGTATGTGAGGGGGTGTCACACGGAGGTAGGGAGAGCCCTGTTCTCCCCTGCAGAGGAAGGCAGGATGCGCTCCAACGGAGCAAAGCTCAGGGAGCCAAGGTTCCATTTGGATGCCAGGAAGCACTTCCTGACAGTCAGGACCCCAAGGGTGTGGAATGGGCTTCCACGAGAGGTGGTTGAGGTCCCATCGGTGCGGGTGTTCAAGGATAGGCTGGATGTCCACATGGTGGGCATGTCGTCAGCGGAGCCGGCTGGAGCCGGGGGTCAGACTAGATGGCCCGGGAGGCCCCTTCTGACTTGCTCTGTTTCTATGTTTGTATGTTACTGGTGGTGCAGAGGTTATACAGGTCTACTCAGAAGTAAGCACCACTGCATGCCAAGGGCCAGGCTCTCAGATGAACACAGCCTGGCAAAGGCTACGCATCCGTCAGTGCAGTACAGGCGTGCCAGTGTGCTTTAGTGTCTCCTCGAACAGGAGTGACACAACACCACAATCACACTCGAGTTCCTTCTTTTTTAGTGGAGTTAATATAGAAGTTCCCAGCAGAGTGCTCATTAATCACGGAAGAATGAGAAGCTGTTTTCTTTAAAGACCAGATATTAAATGTCTTTGTAAGCAAGAACAAACACAATTTTTCATCGTCTTTAATAAAGATGAAAGTTTTGGCTGACTGCAAATTGCTTTATTATTTTGCAGGGCCATCTGCCTTCAGACTTTGAACATAGGGCAAATTCAAAATCTAAATGAATAAACTGCTCTTAATTCCATTCTGTGGCAGCTGGACTAAAAAAAGCACCATTGAGACTAATTGCTTTCCCCATTCTCCTATGAGAACTGAAGAAGAGCAGGAATGCTTCCTGAACCCCCGTATTTACTCACTCTCCTTAGCTGCACTCTTAAGAACCAATTATCCAATTCCTTCACTCCTTCCAGAAATCCTCCTCTCTCTCCACCAACAGTGTAGCCATTTGCACAGAACAACCTCAGTTCCTGTAACTTGGAAGAGGAAATTTGGTCTGCTGTGGCATTTTTCATCATTGCTTTAAAAACTACCAAAGCATCCCACAAGAATATTGCTGCATAGTCAATGATGAAGCTTGTCCGATGACCATGGAGGTGGGGAGAGACCTGTTCTCCCCTGCAGAGAAAGGCAGGACGTGCTCCAACAGAGCCAAGCTCAAGGAATCGAGGTTCAGTTTGGATGCCAGGAAGCACTTCTTGACAGTCAGGACCCCGGGGGTGTGGAATGGGCTTCCTCGGGAGGTTGCTGAGGCCCCAACGGTGAGGGTGTTCAAGGATAGGCTGGACGTCCACATGGTGGACATGTCGTGAATGGAGCTGGCTGGAGCCGGGGGTCAGACTAGATGGCCTGGGGGGTGCCCTCTGACCCGCTTTGTTTCTAAGGCCCACTCAGCCATAACATAGTTGACTGGCAGGGAAGAAAGGCATGGTCTTCTCAGTAGTGGCACCCAGATTCCTAAATGCAGTCCTGGGAAAGATCTGCCAGTTTCCACTGAGGTTTGCGTTTAGAGGCACACATGAAGATTCACCTATGTCTGTTTCAAATACAAAAGTGGTTGACGGTAAACTACGGCATGGGCCACTCTGAACCTAGAATGGAAGCATGTGACTTCCGACGTGAGGCGACACAGTCCCTACAGAATAGTTAACAGTGTCACTTCAATTTCTGCCTTAACGTAAGAAACTGCCGGATTCTGATCCTGCCACCTCAGGAGCAGTTTGCGACAACCCTGGCCGTGCTGCAGGTACGGGCTGCATCCACAGTCCCTCCTTGGCCTCGTGGCCACTCACAAAGCCGAGCCAGGCTTCTCACCTTGAAAGATGCGTGCTGCTCCATGTGCCGAAGAAGCTGCGGTTTCTGGGCGGCGGTATAATCACACACTGTGCACTTGAACTGCTTTCCTGAAATAGAAACCAACCAGTTCAGAAAGCGATGGTGGGCCCCACTCAACAGAGGAAAACAGTGGATGAGGTTGCTCTCGAGAATATGCAATTGCCTTGGGGCAGCAACCTTGGAAACACCTAAATGTTAATCTCTTTGAGGGATGCACAAATCAGGAGGTGCACGGCATTCTTTTAATCTACAGCTGCAGAGGCCACTGTGGTTTTCGTTAGACAATCTAAGGGTAAATAGACACGACACGGGAGGTGCATGAACAGAATCTCTCCAGGGTTTTCTCTCTAAGTCCACAGCTTCCACAGAGGGAGAGTGAACTGGGTTTAAGGAAGCAGCACTGTGGAAAGTGTTCTTTTAATCTTCCCTCTGCAACATTTTCCCAATCTGACTCTAGCTCCACTTCCATTTTCTACTTGCTCTGCTGGAGAAGACATTCACCAGGTCAAACAGCAAATTTGGGGCTGGGGAATTTAGGCTGGTGCTGAGGGAAGGGGGCTAACCTGACCCAGCACCTCTCCCCTGATCTGTCTCTCTCTCCTACCCTAGAAGCCACTTTCAAATTTAAAACATTTTAAAGCAAAGAACAGGAGATCCTGAGCAGATCTCCATCAACACATTTATTTTTCCCCCAAGATACTGATAGCCAGGGCTGCTCTGAAATATCCAGGAATTCCCTGTTTAGGTGCAGTGAGGTTATCAGCCTAGATTTTCAGGATACGTTACACTCTGAGGCAAAAGCCTCTATTTTCGACTGAATAAACAACTACACCCCGATTCTCATTTCACAACCCTGAACATGCCTACAAGTCTTGCAAGGGATTAACTTCTATGCCAATCCTTTTAATATTCTGCTCTCCATCATTTGTTTAATTGTTCAGTTTTGCACAGTCCAATTCCAAACTGCAGAGCAGTTCACGATAGTTAAAGCATTCCCCTTGCCTCTGCTCTAATGCTAAATTGGTTTGCTTTCTCTCTTCCCTCGCAGCTTTTGAAAAATTGTGTTAGAATCTGAGTATGAAGAGGGCATATTTAAACCTGCACAGAGAGCTGTTCTTCTCCCACCCCTTCTTTATAACCAGAACAGAGAAGCTGTTTGAAGCCCCTTCAAAAAAAGCTGTCAGAAACATAAAAGGGAACCCAAAAGTGCAAGTTGAAAAGGCAAATCTACACTAACTTGTCAAGAAAGTGGGTTTCCTTCTCTAAATTCCAAGTTGTTAGTGGAATTTGGGAGCAGTGTATATAAAAGATGACAGTTTCTGCAGAACAGAGCAGAGAAAAAGCTTGATGTTTAAAATGTTTTCTGTCTAATTGAACTAAGGAAAAAATCAGACTCTCAGCTTCTTTAGTTACAGGAACAACAATAAACCCAGACGTGGCTATTGCACAGCCCTGTTGCTGTGTGGTGTGTGTGCTGGTTGGCCTTCCGACCGCTGAAAAAGCTGGCCAGCTAATTGCGGGAGACAGAGAACTGGACTGGGAAAACTTTTTGTCTGATTCAGCACACTGCTAACTTCTTGCACTCAAACCAGGTATCAAACACGGCACACATATTTTAAAAAGCAGCATTTCCAAGAGGGATATTTGGATATCTTTACAGAGCTTAAAACTCTCTGTCTCTCTCTCTCTCTCTCTCTCTCTCTCTCTCTCTCTCTCTCTCTCTCACACACACACACACACACACACACACACACACAGACACTGCAATGGTGAAAGTTATCAACAGCGTGTTTGCAAGAACTTCGGCAACAGAACACCTCATTTTTAAACGGTGCCATTTTTGCTAAGGTGCCATTAATTGGGGAAACTCAAGTACTTTGGGCACCTAATGAGAAGGAACAACTCACTGGAGAAGACTCCGATGCTGGGAACGATTGATGGCAAAAGGAGAAGGGGACGGCAGAGGATGAGGTGGCTAGATGGAGTCACTGGGATGGTGGGTGTGGGCTTGGGTGGACTCCAGGGGAAGGTGGAGGACAGGAGAAGCTGGAGAAATGTTCTCCATGGGGTCGTGACGGGTCGGGCACAACTTTGCGACTAAACGAAAAACAACAACATTCATTGGCATGTAAATCGAGATGTGCAGAAGGATGTACCAGGATTCCACTCAAGACAGTTGAGTTACACTGTGGCGAGGATTGCATTTGCTCAACACTGGAAAAGTGAAGAACCACCCACCGATGAACTGATTTTTAAAAAGATCTTGGACTGTGCAGAAATGGATAGATTGACTTTGTCATTGAAGGAGAAAGAAGATACTGACTTCTATCAAACTTGGGACTCTTTTTATCATTGGCTAGAGAAATGGGACTTTATATAGATTTAAATATGTTTTTAAGTTATCATAAATAGAAGGAAAAGATGTGGGGACTGACCCAGCAGGCCCGATGTTTTGATGATTGATGCTGTTTTTCGGGTTTTTTTTAGTTTTTTAGGATAATAATTTCAAATAAACTTATTTTAAAAAAAGAGGAAAAAAAAGACAGTTGAGCTACATAGATCACTGTTGCTTTGTCACTGTGCTTTCCCAATACCCGCAGCAGCACAATGGATACCTTTCCGCACAATGAGGCAAGAAGGGAGCACGGTCCAAATTCTGTATCCGCGGATGCGGCACCACCTAACTGCTGTTGCCATTTCTCCACCGGGCAAGTGCACTCTGAGTCGGCAACAGGTGCGCGAGAGATGCCTTGCTCATTGCGTGCCTGCAGCAGGGCCGTATTTAGAACCCCGACCGAAATTTCAGACCCGGCGGAAAGCTACTTGCCGTCGGCAGTGTGCAGGAGCTTGTGGCTCTTCAGCGTGCCTTTGGATTTGAACTTCTTCCCGCACATGTCGCACAGGTGGGTTTTCTCGGTGCTGTGCCGGTTCATGTGGGCCTTCAGGTTGCTTTTGCTCCGAGTGGCATATTCACAGAGAGAACACTTGAAGGGCTTGATGCCTAGAGAAAGTGGGGTTAAGCTGGATGAATACTCGGTGGAGCCGGCTCGTCGTACACCTTGCTGGGACAACCAGCTTTAGCAAACTGCACTAGTCATCCCTCAGAAAGTTACTTCTATGTGGTAACAGAAGTCTATGTTGGGAGGTGAAGAGAGAATAATTTTTAAACTCATTTTAAATTATATTTATTATTATTATTTATTATTACTACTACTACTAGCAGCTAAATTTTAGGATGCAGTGTTTTAATTTTTTTTCCACATTTTGTATTGTTAAACTGTCCCAAGACTTCTGTAATGGGACAGTCTACAAAAGTTTTAAATAAGTATAATAAATAAACAACCCCCTTGCTTTGCAGATAGGACCTCCATCAGGAAGAGAGTGCCAAGGGGACAGCAATGCGGACAGAGGGTTACAGCCCCCCTGCAAGTCACAGTCCTGAACTGGCACGGGGAACCCCACGCTGGCTTGGTTTAAAATGGGAACAGCCATTGCACTGCAAACCATGCCACAAATGCAGTTTAGCCCCGAAATGATCTCATCTGGCCCTAAAAGGATGCCTGCTCTTTTCCCTTCTTCCATTGCTCCCTGATCAGAATTTGCAGACCGTGGGACCACTCGGCAAGGGTGTGTCCTCTTGTCCCTGCATGTTCAGGCTGACGGCCACCTTGTGGGAGCCCCTGCCCAGCAGGGCGGAGCACTTGAAATGTTTCCACCAAGAAATTCTGGAAATGTGTCAAAATCCAGAACTCAAATTTGCAGCCTTTGCTGAGATGACAGCAATATTTTCATTTAGCTTTCTGTGCATAGAGATGTTTTAGGAAAGAATACCCACCGGACTAATGATGAGTCATTAATTCCTAAACAAAAGGGGTTCAAGTATTAATTACTGAAGAACTCTTGACTTATCTGCTGAGGCAGAAAATCACAAAACATGCAGTTTTGAACCAGATGAGACACAAGCCATTGATTTGCATAAACTTTGCTTTGACTCCAAAATAAGATGCAGCAGGAGACTTCCAGAGGCTGCTTGTGTCACGCAGAGTCATAAAGCAAGAAAGAGGAGGGGAAAATATACTGCATGTCATATATCATGTCACAGAAACAGTAAATTAGAAATGCAATAAATAAACTTAGCAGTGGGGATTAAAATGCCACTTCTCTGCCAGAAGGGTCTGTGTTAGCTTTTTCCATTGCACAAGACAGACCTCCAAGTGGCATGTTGAACTGCAGCATTAATTAAATGGATCTGAAAACATCACTTGCCACAGTAGTAACATCCACATTCACCAAAGGTATGTGTGATACATAAAGACCAATTCAGTGAATATTGCAGCTAAACGTATCACTTGGAAATACATTCAAAACTTATTTCTAGGTAAGGGAAATGGGAAATTCAAGTGCGCATGTTCCTTCCCCAAAGCTTTGTGATAGTGTAAAACTAGTCAAGAAATATGAGTACTTTTCCCTAGATAAAAATTTCCCATGTGTGGACACTTCCCGAAGACTGCAGCATCAAGTGACAACCCATTCCAGAATGAGCTTAGATCGTGGCAAGCTTATTTGGTTACTTCAAATGCCAGAATTGTTGAGGGACCAGTTCACAGGTACCTGCCACTGGTGAGTCCAGAGGAGACCTCCATTCTGAAAATGCACAGGATTTTCTGGGGTTTCCAGTTGATGTTCTGATCTGTAGCCTGTCCTGATCTACCACCACGAAGGAAGGAAAAATGGAATAGCTGCACAATGCCTTTTGATTCATACCACCAGGGGCCCTCCTTCTGGAAGCAGTCACTGCATGGGATCCTCATGCATGGGTGGACCATTCTTAAGGCTAAAGGTAAAGGTAAAGGTTTCCCCTTGACGTTACATCCAGTCATGCCTGACTCTAGGGGGTGGTGCTCATCTCCGTTTCCTGGCCGAGGGAGCCAGCGTTTGTCCACAGACAGTCTCCGTGGTCATGTGGCTGGCATGACTAAACACCGAGGTGCACGGAACGCTGTTACCTGCCCACCGAAGTGGTACCTTTTTATCTACTTGCATTTGCATGTTTTCGAACTGCAAGGTTGGCAGGAGCTGGGACGGAGCAATGGGAACTCACCCCGTTGTGCAGATTCGAACCAGCGACCTTTCGATCCACCAGCCCAGCAGCCCAGCGGTTTAAACCACTGCGCCACCTGCAGTCCCTTTCTTAAGGCTAGAAGACTGAATAACTTGCATGGGCAGAAGCCTTTCAGGCGCTTCTAAACAATCCTTCTTTGCGGTGCGTAGACAGAGCGGCGAGCTTCTAGGTTCCCTAAAACCTGCTCATGGCGCATTAGTAACAAAGGGCCAGCTAGAGAGTAAGATAGGACCTGGACAAGGGGCAGGGACTCCAGCCCACTCTGTGACAATGAGCTACAGAGGCTTTGCTCCAACCCAGGCCCTGTGCCACATGGAAAGCCCACGTGTGTGATGAACGGAGACCACGATGAAGAACAGGGCACTCTGTGCAGTGATGAGCTACATTTATGCAAAGGTGCATGCCTGATGCAGCCGACGGCTTCTTGGAAAGATGTGGGGGTGCTAAGTCAGCATCAGACCTACCGTGCATGGAGAGGGGATCAACCCCTTTACCCAGCGGGCAGCTGGCCTTCTAGCAAGAAGGGCAGCTGCTCACCAAGGGCCTGAACCCAGGAGCCTCCCCCACCCTCCCCAGCAGCTGCCAGTAAACAGAATAAAGCAGAAGCAGATGCATGAAAATGAAAATGAATTCTACATTTGGCAAGGTCTGGCCATGGCTGCAGCTCTTCCCTGCCCGCCCAGGACTGCCATTTCCCAAGGCAGACTCCAGCTAAGCCTCCATTACCTTCATGGGCCCAAATATGACGCTGGAGGTCCGACCCGTTCTTCATGAAGTACGAGTTGCAATAGGGGCACTTCACGGCTCGCTTTCCAATCAGCCCTTTCAGCTGGACCCTCCTGCCAACGATCTCGGAGATGGTGTTCATAGAAACTTCTGCGGGTGGGAAGGGAAAGGAAGAGGCACATCAGACAAAGAAATGAAACAGAACCAGTTCTAACCTTTGGGGAATGCGTGGTGTGGATAAATAAAACACAGGATATTTAGACTGCTCCTTGTTGTGTCTTTTAAGTAGCTTTCCTTTCAAAGGCTTTTCCCCCCAGGTGAAATTTTACAGTCTAAGGAAATAGCCTCATTAATTTATGACTTTTCCAGCACAGGGCTATTGCTTTTGTGCACCGGGTGCTTACTTTTTAGTGACAAATTAGAGTCTGGTTGTGCCATTGGTACAGAAACTGTTTTTCCAGCAGGGAGCATTCTCAAGCGGCCAATACCTAACAGGGCAGCTTCCCTAACCAAATATTTATGAGCTTCAATTCTCTCGGAGAGACGCCTAACATTTGTTTAAGGTTTCAGCCGGGATTTGCAGAGGAGTCGGAAATATCTGAGCAGACAGCTTGTTAACAACGGCAAAAGGCACCAAAATGCAGATGTGATGCTAAAATCGCTAGAAATAATGAAAAGATAAGATTGTTCAGTCCCAAGCCAGTTTAATCATCAACCTGTCTTTCGGAAGATGCATATGCTGGCAGGATTCCACTTGAGGGATCTGACATTAGGTTTGCACTGCGGGGACACCAAGGCCTGACCTGGGAGCATTATGGGCTGGCTGGGGACTGTATGTGCTCCAACATCAAAGCTCTCTTCAAGCACAGAAGGGAGCAGAGGTGGGCAGCATAAGCTCCTACTCCTGGCAGGGTGTGAGGCTCCTGGAGCAGCCAGATGCCAGACGTCAGCAGGGGCCTGCCCTTGGCTGCTGGGCGCTTGAGATGGTTCAAAGAGGCACAGTGAGGCTGGGGCCCAGAGACAGAGCTCGGCCACTGAGAAAGGCTTGCAGAAACTTTGCCACCGCGAGCTCGGGTTACTCCTAGCCAGGGCGATGGACCAGCACTGAGACTAGGGCTTCAGAAGGTCGGCAGACTAGGCTTCGATCGTGAAGCCGAGAGAGTAGCCCCACACTGTGACAGTTAGCCAGGCAGTCAGCAGAGGCAGAGGGCTGAAGGTGGAGGACGTCCGAGAGACCCCTGGGATGCCCTGGTACAAGAGGCTTCCCTCTGCCCTCTCTCCTCCTCTCCAGGCTAAGGGAAAACATTTTGCCCTCTTGGCTTCTGCATGTCAGAATGCGACAAACAGGACAGCCGCCGGGCCAGTAACAAGCCGACCACCCTGGGTGCGTCTACCTGTGTCCGCCGGCTTATGAAAGCCACGCGACGTGGGAGACCCAACCCAGCCTGTTATTTAAGCGGAGCCATGCATTACGCTTCATTAAAAACCATTCGTGCAGCTTATTTTACCTGGGTGGTTTGTCTTGATGTGTGATTTTATAAGACGGTCTTCAGAAAATGATTTCTCGCACACAGGGCAGGTATAACTCTTTTTGTCCTTTAAAGGGAAGAAGAGAAGATTATCCTATCAGTTCATTGAGCTGATTGCTAAACTCATTACAGGCTGGATAATATACAGCTCCCAACAAGGTGATAACGGGATGGCTCAGATGTGAATTTCAGCTGGTGTTATGAAAAGTGAGAGCAGTTATCCTGATGAGGCAGGCGGTAGGAAATGCAAAAATTAGGGCTTCATTACCACATCAGCAATCTCTGAATGATTCACAGCTTTGGCTGATAACCGGGGAGGGGAAAATGCCACGGGAAGAACACATGCAAACCACTCCTGAGTGCCTAAGCAGCAATCTTCTTCTCCGTGTTCCACATCAGATCAATCAACATCGGAAGGAAAGGGGAAAAAGGAAGGGGCTAGATTTATGTCTTGGATTTATAGCTTCCCTTTCAGCAGATTCTCGGGGCTTACTCAACGGCCGTTTTTTCAATGCCCCCCCTACACACATGCACACAAAAACGCTCCACGTGTCTGCAAGTAGAAAACAAGTACGGCAGAGGAGGCAGAATCAAATCCCTTCTCTCATAATTGGGGTCTGAGCAGGGAAGGAAGGGATGTGGCCAGGACTTGCAGGATAACTCCCACAAGCCCCACCTGAGCCCGTGGAATCAACCTGATGCATCTGATTCTGGCTGAAGGATGCCTGCTGGGAAGGCGACCATTTGTTTATCATCGATGGTCAAAGATCAGAGCTAAAACAGGGATGCCTTGCCTTGCCTCCTCCCCAAGCCTGCAGGCCAGCGGGTGAAGGAAGGCCTCCCTGTGTGGGTCAGATTGAGCCCGTGGGCTAGAGGCTCTCCTCCCATAGTCTGGTGATCTACTGCAGGTATGTTTCTTTTGCTCGATAATACAGAGCATTCCAAATTTAATATCCCATCTGCAGCCCACTCCCCAAGCTCAGTCTGCTCTGTAGGCAGCTGCTCGCTCCGTCTCCAGCTAACCTCGAGGCCGTTTTGCAGCACTTCGACCTCTCCTTCTTTCTCTCCGGGTTCACAAGGCCACAGGTGGGATGTTAAGCACATGGGGGCATCTGTAGTTCTCCAAAGACAGAAGGGACATGCCCACTGAGCTGGCATCCTCCGTCTCCCCCACGTCCCTTGCAAAGGAGTTACTTCCTTGTGAAAAAGGGGCCCTCCATTGCGTGCATCCAGTGGCATTCTGCCTGCGATGCAATGTGAAGGGCAAGCTTTAAGGGAAGCTGCGGCAATACAGGTCTGATGCTACGAAGCTGCTTGGCTTTGCCAACACGGAAGCAAAGTCAACCGCCCTGATGAAACCGCCGCTGCGGAAAGCAATTTTGAAGTCTAAAGCCACATCCACACGCTCCTGTGTGTGCGTAGGGGGGTAGTCACCCTGCAGCAAGCGCAGCACTTGCCCCCACCCTGCCTGTGCTGAGAGAACTCACCAGAGACAGGTTCACACGCTTAGGTTACTGCACAATCTTTGCTCAGATGCTGAGATCCAGTGGCAAGCTAAGGGACTGCAGGGGGTGCAGGGGTTTAAACCGCTGTGCTGCTGGGCTGGTGGATCGAAAGGTCGCCGGTTCAAATCCGCACAGGGGGCGAGTTCCCATTGCTCCGTCCCAGCTCCTGCCAACCTTGCAGTTCAAAAGCATGCAAATGCAAGTGGATGAAAAGGTACCACTTCGGTGGGCAGGTAACAGCGTTCCGTGCACTTCGGTGTTTAGTCATGCCGGCCACATGACCAGGGAGACTGTCTGCTGACAAACGCTGGCTCCCTCGGCTAGGAAACGGAGATGAGCACTGCCCACTAGAGTCAGGCATGCCTGGACTTAACGTCAAGGGGAAACCTTTACCTTTAGTGGCAAACTTGGCTTTGACGAACGAGAAGGCAAAATATTGGATAAAGGAGCATCAAAGCTGGATTGGGCAGGACAGGGTAGGGTAGGGTAGGCCTACCGGTGTCAGACAGTAACATAGGGTACTCCAGTAAAACATTTAGGGTTAATGTAGAATCCAGCCAGGACATGATAAGCATGATAAGACAGAAGGGTACCACTGTCTCGACAACCACAGCTGGTCCTCAGAAGCCTTAGCAGACAGCTGAAAACCATGCTTTTTATACTGACAACAGCAGAAAGCTTGCTGGGGAGCAGAATTCTCATCTAATACTCCTCATGGCATTCTTCGGATGCTACTTTTCAATTTCCAGCTTCGGTGGGGTATTTAGAGGTATACCGAGAGTTGCTTTCCGTGTGCTGAGCACAAGCCTTCAGTACCCGGCAACAGTGACACACGCGTTGGTAACTTCCCAATTAGACTTCTGCAACGCGCTCTACGTGGGGCTACCCTTGAAGATGGTCCGGATACTTCAATTGGTGCAGAATAGAGCTGCCAGGCTGCTGACGGGGACTGGGCGTTGTTCTCATATAACCCCAGTTCTCCGTCAGCTCCACTGGCTCCCGATTGAAGTCCGGGCCCAATTCAAGGTGTTGGTTATGACCTATAAAACCCTCAACAGCTTGGGCCCTGGGTATCTAAAGAAACGCTTGCGTCCATATATGCCCTCCCGCCCCTTGAGATTGGCAGCAGAGGCCCTCCTCCGGGAACCCTCTGTGAAGGAAATTAGGAGGGTGAGTACCCAGAGGAGGGCCTTCTCTGCGGTGGCGCCCCATCTATGGAATGCGGTCCCCAGAGAGGTCCGCCTGGCACCGTCGTTATTTGTTTTTCGGCGCCAGGCTAAGACCTTTTTATTTAAAACTTATTTTAAGTGTTAATTTATTATGTAGGATTTAAAAAAAAAATTTAAGTCGAGATGCACCGGGTTTTAATATTTTTAGTGTATAATTTTTGTATGACTTTGTATGTTTTTGTTTTTGTTGTGAGCCGCCCCAAGGCTTTGTTGCCATGGGGGCGGCATAGAAATGTTTTAAATAAATAAATAAATGAATACACGGCTGTGGCCACTGCCATGCGTAATTTAACAGCTCCTGGGATTGCCCTCCCCACTCCTGCTCCCAAAGGTGGAGGGTTTTGGAGTGCCGGCTACTGCTCCAAAACAGGTCTGCCGCCATGCTTTCTTCAAGCGAATGTTATGCTGGAGTGGAGTTCCGGACGATCTCAGTGCACAGCCTTCTTGGGAAAGAAAGGGGAGAGAAGTGGGGAAAGAGTCTATTTACACGCACATAAATGCACAACAGAACAGAATGCTTCCAAAACCGGAAGATACACAGCATCTCAACTATATTATAATTCCTGAGCTAATGATTTCGAAGCCAAGCTGGTGCGTTTGAGACTCTAACTCCATTTTGAGCATATGGCGTTCCAGCGACAAGGGCTCCTGGGAACCTTACGCCTGCAAGAGACATGCTGCTGCACTTCTACAAATGCCAAGACGTGCTTCCAGAAAAAGCAAAATGCCACGTAAGGCAGGATTCCCTCCCTCTCCCTCTCTCCACGCAGGTCTCGTGGAGAAATAACAGTGTATGGAGCAGAGTTCTTTCCACAAAGGGAAAGCAGGAGCTACAATCTGCAGGAAATTCCATCTGTCAGCTGTGAAGCAAAAAATGGGAGCATCCCCATCCCGTTCCCTGGCAGGGGCGACGTGTTTCCGAGGATGCTTTGCCTGACCACATTTGAGACCGAAACAACTGCAAGCTTTAAATGTGACCTTTACTTAACATGAGCAAGCCGCATCTTGTTATAGCTAAAGCGGGCAAAGTAGCCGAACATGAAACCACAACCAGCATCCCCAATTCCCTACATGCATTAAGCACTGAAAAGGTTATGCTATGGATGTTCAGACAGCAAAAAAGGCATGTAACTCCCATCGAGCTTAAGTGTGCGTAAGACTGTGGTTCCAGTAACTTTCCACCCAGTTCTTTTCCCCTGCAACCTGGAGGTTTTAACCAGCGTTGTTGCTTAGTCCCATGCTAAGTATGTAAGAGAAAGATTCCGAAGCAGAGCTTTAACAAGAACGGACTGAAAATCCCAACTGACTCGCAATCACCTTCAAAGCACCTCAGTATTTGCAATTCCTTTTTCGATGGGAGGGCGGAATTCTGAACATGACTGCTCAGCAGCTCCTTGCGTTTGCTCAGATACAAGAGGACTGCAGATAGATCCATGATCAAAAGAGGATGGATATTTATCCAAATTGTGTATACACTTCAAATACAAGTTGCCTGTTCTTTCTCATGCTTGATATTGAAAATCCATTTATTCTCAAGGTCCTGTTTAAACAAACGAATCGAGGGCCCCTTTCTTTTAACTACAATTGTGCTACACTTCTTTGAAACACTTTATTTATGACATGTGACACAATTATTAAGGAATATCTAATTCCCAAAGGGCAGGGGGAGAAGCCATCCTTCTCCGTGAGCAAATGTGTGCATGGAAGAAGAAAACGGGGGAAGATGGAGGGATAGAAGAAACCAAGTGTGGGAAATGCCGACACGGGAGCCAGGAAAGATGCATATGAAAAGCAGAAGGTAGCAAAACTGAGGTCTGGTGCTTGAAAAAGGAGTACGATGGCCCCATTCATACAAGTTTATCTTCCCTTAACAGATGACATACCTGTGACTAGTGTGAACCAACCTTCCAATAGTGACCACCACAGTCACATGGCTGGGTCACTATTTCTTTATACTTTGACCCACTGAGCTCAAAGGGGCTGCAGTTAGAAATTGCCTGAGTCCCATTGATTTTAATGGGTTTACTCTACGTAAAGCTTAGCCTGGATGGCATCCTATGAATTTAGGCCATGCCTTATATAACCTCAAATGCAATTCCTTCACCAAAGGGAAGGCTCACCTGCTCAACTACGGCATTTCTGGGCAGCCTGAACGCTACCTCTACCAGCAGGAGAACTCGGGTTCTTCGGAAATATTCATTCCTTTATTTACAGCTGTCCTTTGTCACACACAGCATCAGCAGAGAGTGCCTGTGACAACGGCAAGAATCGACCAGGGAACACCCAGCTAAAGACACTTCTTTGAACAGTTGTTAAAAGTTAATGCGGAAGAT